ATTATTCGTTACTAGATTTAAAAAGGGAAAAGGAAAATAGAGAATATTAGGTTTTAAATTTTATTTAATATTTAAATATATTTTACTTAGACTTATAATCGTAATTATAAATTACACAAACACAATATGTACATTTTATATTAATCCACTTAATAACAAAGTTAATAAAAAAAAGGTTTTACAAAAAATATTGACATTTTATCTTACATAGCTGACATTAATATTTTTACATTCTTCGTATATATACCGTACTTAAATTATAACAAGCGTTTGAGGTCGTAAAACTCGTTAATGTTCCAAACTTAAAAAATAAGAGAGAGAACCGATTCGAATCAGAAGAAGAAGAAGACGAAGAAGAAGATGAAAACATTATTCGCTCGCGAAACCGTAGGGGAAAGAATAACGATTATTGATAAATCTTCGTTTTACCAATACCGGTGCGCACGTTTTTGTTTCATTTCGCGTTACGATCTCGTGAAACGCTGTGCGCCGGATTGTGCTAAAACGCAGATTTATATTACGTTGCGATGTTTCTTCCTCTTCTTCTTCTTCTTCTACTCCGTACCTTTCTCTCTCATTTTCTATTATTAATCTTCTGATACCATCGAAATTTTCCCTAAGCGAGTTCTTATAATTAAGCGTTATTCCTTTTACTTTACAAATTTCATGCAGGCGATCTTCCGATGTACGAACAACGTACGCATAGAATTTCGGGCCACCCGACACGAACGACTCGATATAACTATCGCGGCCGTAGCTCTCGAGTTCGTCGGTCATATCCCCCAAAAAATTTCCCGTACGTGGTTCGTACTCGTTCGGATCGCTTGTACTTATATATATGCAGAAATCTGTATCATAATACAATACTCGCCTATTCAATAATTCTAAATGTTCGTATAATTTCAGTCACGCCAGCGCCGTCGTGAATGCCGCGATCACGACGTTTGTCTGCGGAGAAACTACGACCGCTTCTTCTCACAATCTCCACGAGACATATATTACCTCGTCGTTGACGAGTAATATATCGGTTATTTCGTGTTCTGGACTCGTGAGCAAAGCTGCCAATCGCTGGTAATTTTTCACGATCTCGGTGTTAGGCAAATTGGATCGTTGACCGAATTTTCCCCAAAAGGAATTTAAGCAGAGCTTTGCAACCGAACGTAGACCTGGATTTCGAGTGATGTTATTTTTATCGAGAACGATACCCTCGGTTTCCTCGTATTCCCGAAGATATCGCTCCTTAGCTTCGTCACCACGCATTCGTTCGGCCATCCGCTAGCCTTCCTGCTTCAATTGCAAAAAACTATTGATATATCCGGTAAACAATCCACCCTGCCGCGTATCGGGATCATATCGCGTGACCTTGTATTGCCAAAT